CAGGGCCTCCTCTTCCTCTGCAGAAGCAGAACTGGGGACTTTTGCAGCTCTTTACATCTATTAATCATTATTTCCTGATCCTCTGATGTGCAGTGGCCCATGGAGGGGCAAAATGCAGCCATCCTTGAGAGTGGGAAAATTACGGTGCCATACCCCAGGACACAGAGTAGGAAGAACAAGCATAAACATGGATACCAAGCAGGCACTAATGTATTCATCTGCCAAAGCCCTAGCTGCTCTGCAGAATTCCAGATTTCTCATTTGTGCTCTTAGCTTTCCATGCCTGTTGCTGCCAACTCAAGCTCTTAATGCATTTCCTTGGGGGCTTTGTTTTGCTGTAGAGGCAGGTCACTGTAAGCCTTATGAACTTTAGTTTTTGACTTTGGGCTCTGTCAGTCATACACAGCCTGGAGACAGAAAGGAGTTTTTCCAAGTGGCAGGGCTTTCAGAGACAGTCTGAGCACTCATGTTCCAGGTGGTATGATGTCCTCCAAGTGCAGCAGAGGGTTTATATCAGTTTCCCAGCGTTTCTAGACCTCCATTCCAGTTTGCTTGGGCTTGCTCATCCTTCTCCACACCTCCTTGCAAGTCAAGATTTGCAGAGGCTTGGGATATGGTCCTCACCCAGATACTGTGTCAGCATCACTCGTACTCGTCTCCCCTGGTCCTGTAGTGCAGGTGTCCTCTGCGCATCTGCTGCTTTGTTCGAATTAATCTGCATTAGGGGTGTTACCTTGCTTGTGCCGTAATTTGTAATAATTCATATTAAAATTCATTATGTAAATAACAAAAAGAGGGGAGGTGCCACCCCAGAGCAGAGTAACCAAGCACAGCAAGCAGCATCTTATGGATCCCTCATGCAGACAAACCTCCAGGCTCCTTTTCAGGGCCACATTCCTGTGCCAAGGTCCATCAACTTTTTGATGGCTTGGAGACCTTTTAATTATTTTAATTACTGACACTACCAAGGGAAAAAAACCCTACCACCACCGTGACCTTCAAGCTGTTGGTTGTTTTTACTCTGCGGACAGCTGCAAACAGCTGTTTTCGCAATAAAATGCAGACTGCTCTCCTGTGGTCTTGCATTGCAGGAGTCCTGGTGCTGGGGACATGCCTACTCCCTCCCCTCAACGAGGTTTCCACTGAAGTGCTTCTTGCACATGCCACATATCATGGCACTGCAGGGGACAAGCAGCAACCTCCCACCATAGGAATGGGGCTCAGTGCATCCCACGGATGTGGGGAGGCAGCGAGGGCAGAGGGTGGCAGAGGGAGGTGTGGGGGCACCTCCGCTGCACCTGGGAGAAGGCATGGGATGCCGCAGCTGAGGCAGGAGCCTCCTGCTGCCATGTGAATGTCTCACTGTGCCCCGGCACCTTTCAGATGAAGATCAGTCAAGATGAGGAGAAGCAGCAGCTCTGCTCCCTTCAGGATCAACTGAAAATGGCATTGCAGCTGGAGCAGAAAGAGGTAAAGTCTGATCCTCCCTGCAAGGGAATGTGTGGTGGTGCCTGTAGAGGGCGGTGGGGGGGTGGGGGGTGGCACAGGGTCCCTGGCAGTCCCATGAGGACATGCTCTTGGTTGCCAGAGGTACTGATGGTGTAAGGCCTTGCTGCTATTTCTCTCCTTCTGCCAGGACCCTGGGAACAAACAGGCAGGGTACAATATGCACCAGCTGCAAGGAAACAAGCAGTATGGCACGGAGAAGTCGGGGACCCTCTTCAAGAAAAGCGATGGGTAAGCTGGGATCCAGCATGCCCCTTTCAATTGTGCGTTGGTGACCTGGGGCCAGAGCAGGACTCACTCAGACCAACCCCCTCTCCCTGGGGTGGCCACAGGGCAGACAAACGGGACAAGCATGCATGAAGGTGTGCTCAACACTATCCCAGCGCCCAACAGCTTTCAACACAGAGCTCCAGGCAGCTTGTGTCCGTCTTTTAGCTCTGAGGACATTCCTCTCCTGTGAAGCTGCCCAATGTCCTCTCAAGCCCTGTGAGCACTGGGGGCGAGGACCCCTGCACCCACCATGGGAAGCCAGAACCAGCTCCCCGTCTTTCCTTCCAGCAGGGATCCCACCGCCTTCATCCAACACCCCACGGTCTTGTGCTGGGAGGGACAGGGAAGGGTCGTTGCCTCTCCTCCTCTCCCAGGCACTCATTGCTTTCCAGAACCCCCTCCATCACCTCTGCTCCGGGATGAGGAGCCCTGACCCCTCCATCCTTCCTGGGTGGGAGACGCTCAGGGCTGCACTGGGGATTTATATACAGTCCCGGTGATATTTTTCTGCTCTCTTCTCCCTTCCCTCCCTTCCCAGTCCTGACCCATCCTTTGCCTTTCAGACCCCTCTGCCCTCACAGTTCAGTACTGGGCTCAGCTCCCTGACTGAGAATTAGGGGAAGGAGCAGAAATGTGGGGTGAATTAGACACAGTGTGAGTCAGTGCTGCCTTGGAAATGGCATTGTGGGCCAGAGGGGAGAGAGAGCCAGCAGCCATCCTGTGCCCCTCTCCCGGGAGCCAGACCCTGAGCTCCTGGAAGGCACTCCACTGTCTTTGGAAAGAGGATCATCTCCCACCAGTGCGTGGGAGGATGTTTGCTGGAAATCACAGGGGTCCTGCACTGGGAGACTTGCACACCTGGAAAGGACTGTGAAGTGTCCTAGAAAAAACTGAAACTGGACAGAAAATAATGAACTGGGGCTCAGGAGTCTCCTTCACTGCAGACTGAAGTTCAGTCTCTCCCCCCTTTCGGGTGTCCCACTACCACCTTTCCCCTGTGTTATGATCTGCCCTGAATGGCAAGCACGGGAAAGCCAGCCTGGGAGCAGTTTGGAGGTGATGGTCTTGAATGTTTGCTGTGGGCTTCTGCAAAGGGCTTTGTGCTCTGCTAGCAGGTCCTGCTGCCCTGATTGATGCTCTGCACCTGTATCACCTCCACAACAGCTGTGCTGCCTGTCCGTTCAAGCCTGTCTTATGCCATATGACAGGTCCTTCTCAGCCAAGAACAGACAAAGAGTGACAGACCCCATCCATGGCAGCCCAGCTGGCATGTCTGATGAGAGCTGTGGCCCCATGCTGTGCCTTGCATGGCTCTTGCATTTGCCAGCGCTGCGCTGCATTGCGCATCTGCTCCTCTGTGTGTGTGTGTCCTCTCAGCTCACCCTCCACTCATTTCCAGGTTGAGGAAAGTCTGGCAGAAGAGGAAATGCACCATCAGCAATGGCTACTTGACCATCTCTCACAGCATTGTAAGAACTGCTTCTTCCACTCTGCTCTACTCCTGCCTGGGAGCTGCTGCCCACCCCTGCAGGGTCTACAGACCCTGCCACTGTCAAGCATGCCAGTGGCTTCCTGGGGCTTGTCAGAGCCCTCATGCCTGCTGCTTGCCCTGCTGGGCTGCCCTGGCATAGGAGGCTTTCTGTTGAGACTTAAGTCCCTGCAACCCAAGAGAGCTTTAGACAAACATAGGAGGTCCTCATGTGCCTGTGGTCATGGAGGGGCATGAGCCTGGGGACCTGGCTCCAAGCATGGGGTGGCTGTTGGGAAAGAAAAGATCCGCGTTGCTATTTCTTGCATTGCTCCTGAAAGCAGAGCCAAAGACAAAGTGTTGGGCATAAGGTGGATCTATGGCTCTGCCTCCAGAGCCAGACAGTGCTCGTCACCACTGGACCACAGCCTTTCAATGCTTCCTCATTCTGCTTGTAGCTCAACTGCCCACCAGCCAAGCTGAATTTACTGACCTGCCAGGTGAAGCCAAACATGGATGACAAGAAATGCTTCGATCTGGTTTCCTGTGAGTGCTGGTGCCTGCCCTGTGGTTCCTCCAGGAAGGGCCTGGAGAGGCGGCAGTGCTTTGGACTCAGAGAGCCAATGCAGGCAGGGATGAGAGGAAGCTCTGCAGCTTTGGACCAGCTTGGGGGGATTACCCTGGGGAAATTGTGCCAGGAGGCAGCTCTGTTCAGGAGCAGTGATGCACACACAGAGTGAGATAGGCAGCACTGCCATGGGGCAGTGCAGGGTGTGTGGGGACCATGCAAATGTAGCTCCCGGGCTGCAGCTTAGCTAACACCAGCATCCGTCATTCCTGGTACAGAAGCAGGTCCCTTTGCCTGGGGTGCACTGGGGAGGGGCTGAGTGAGATGGAGGTGACTGTCACCTCAGCTGCCCGGGCTGGAGATTGCTCCCGGCTCTGCTGAGCCCAGCTCAGGCATGTTGTGCCCTGCCATGAGCCTGGCAGGTGACATGGATGAGCGGGGTGCCTAGAGGAGACCAGCTCTGTGTGTTTCAGACAATCGCACATACTGCTTCCTGACAGAGGACGAGCAGGACTGTGTTGCGTAAGTACTGCCAGCACCTCGCTGAGGACCAAAAAATGCTCCTCTGGCTGCCGATAAGGAGCCAGCTCTTTGGCTAATTGAGCAGCATGTCGCAGCCCATTGTTCAATGCCCTTCCCACCCTGACTGTCCCAGTCACTCCGGGGGGGCCTGGCCAGCTGCAAGCAGGACATGGAACTTGGTGAAGGCTTCTGGCACCCAGTTTGCTGCTGGAGTCCTGTGCAGGACCTTTGTGTGAGGTGGCTGCTGTGCAGGCTGGGGCAGAATGGGATCTCCCCCACAGCAGTGGGACGAGCCCTGCTGCCCTCCTCACCCTGCAGCCTGAATGCAGCCACACAGGACCCCGCGCCTAAGCCACTTTCTGCCTGTGCAGCTGGGTGTCTGTCCTCAGCAACAGCAAGGAGGAGGTGCTGAACGTGGCCTTCAGTAAGGCACAGGGCAGAGGGGAGAGCAGCCAGGAGGAGTTGACCTGGGCCATCATTGAGGAGGTCAGAGGCATGCCTGGGAACAGGGAGTGCTGCGACTGCTTGGCCCCAGGTGAGAGCCAGCCCATGGCCGTGGGGCCGCCGTGCTTCCTCGCCCCTGGACAGGCGCCCTGCCCTCCGCAGCATCCAGCTCCTGGAGACCCGCAGGCATCTGGGGTCTTGCCCTTCCCCTCTGTCCTGCTGTGGAGCTTGTGCCCTGGGGTGGTGGTGGGGCCGGCGGGGAGGACAGGCAGGAGATGTGCATGAGCCTGGCAGTCTTGTCTCTACAGATCCCACTTGGCTTTCCATTAACTGGGGCATCCTGATCTGCATCAAGTGCTCTGGGATTCACAGAGAGATGTGCATCTCTCCTGCATCCAGTCACTGTCTCTGGACAAGCCGGCAACCTCCGAATTACTGGTAGGATGCTGCTGGTGTGCTCTGTCCTCAAGTCTCCCCCTGCTTCTGCTGTGGCTTTCCTGAAACTAAGTTAATTCAGTGGGTTTTTCACCTGTTAAATTGACACATACCCACCTGTAATTCCCAGGGTTTAGTGGTTATTGTGGCAGGAATTGTCATCTTCAAGGAGGAGAGGGTGGAGTCATTTCACTGTTGCTGGGTCACCCGTCTCCCTCAGTCCTCTTTCCCCATCTGTGTCTCCTGGTGCAGGGGAGCTATGGGGCAGGGCCAAGCTTGAACTGGGGTAGAGCAGAGTGTGGGGCACACAGGGGGTTGGAGACCTTGCAAGGGGCTGTTTTAGGGCCACGATGCTCCAGTTACTCATGGGTTTGGTAGGGCTGTGATGGGAGCTGCTGGCAGCTGGTGGGCATCAGGGCAGGGGATGGGAGTATTTGGCAGCGATCATTCCTTGCCCAGGTCTGAGCCCAGGGGTCAGCTCTGGGATTGGTTGCATTGCTGGAGTTGGGAGATCTCAGCAGTAGGAGTCAGGGCAGAGTCTCCAGCCATTGGGCACACACATCCTGGCACCCCTTGACATCCCCTCGATACTTGGTCAGGATCTCAGCCTGGAGCTCCCTCTCCTGCTGCCATGCATGTAGAGCTGCTGCATGTCCCATGTTACCTCTAGCTTGGCTGTTTTGCAGCTGGCGAGGAATATGAGCAACTCTGGCTTCAATGATGTCATGGAAGCGAATATCCCCAGCTTTTCCCTGAAGCCCACAGTGCACAGTGACATGTGAGTTGCTCCGCAAGAGCTGCTTTTTGTGGGAGGTTAGATACGGGACCCTCACCCATGGTTACACGCTCTGCGGCTCCCTGCAGTGACCAGGCACCTGGCACTGCCCGATCTCCTCCCCAGACTGTAACTTCTCTTTAAAAGAAATTTCATCAAGTCCAGCAGGAAAGGTTTGATAGAGAGAAGAAGAGTGAGGAAGAGCCAGCAGGACAGCTCAAGGATTGGCCTTGAGGTCAGGACAGGGATTGAGGAATTGGTGCTGGAAAGGGAAAGACAAGAAGTGAAATAAGTGGAGCTGCCAGGCAGGACGACTCTGGCTGCACATCAGCAGGGCAGGGAAGGGCAGGAGGGTGGAATGGGACAGGGACAGGGACTTGTGCAGTGCAGAGCAGTTCACTGTGTCCAGTGACTGGGGCCCAGGGCCGGTGGGATCAGCATAGGCATCAAGCAAAGATCTGCTGAGGATGTGGGAACCCCCATCCTTCATCCCAGAGTGCCCCAGCCTCCAGGCGCTGCAGAGGACATGGGAGAGCTGGGGTGGCGTGGCTAGTACCAGCAATAGCTGGGGGCTTCTCCAGGTCTTAATGCTATAAACCTGGGATGCAGCAGAGCTCTTAGGGAGCTTATTGTCAGGGGCCGAGGGGACTTTCAGGAGACTGGAGACCAGGCAGACCAGGCACGATCAGGTTCCATTACAGGCATGTGAGTCCTGACTAGGGCACTGTTTAGACAGTGTGGACCTACCCTGCAGTGAATAGGTGGATAAGGAACTGCACTTGGCAGGGAGAGAGCAGCAGAGAGCTGGGGGAGCAGGAAAATACAACTAGAACAACATGGTCAAGGTTGCCAGATACACCCTTCCGCTTGGATGCTGGGGAAAGTGAAACTGCGTGAAATTAATAATTCAGCTCTTCCTCAATGGCCTTTTCTGTTTGGAGCACTCCTTCACCCCTGGGGCACCTGCGGCCACCCCAGATCCTCTGGCTAGTCACCACTTCTGCTGTTCTTGACCTCTCCAGGGGGAGAGACCCAGCTTACTTGGTCAGTCCTTGTCTGGAAGCTGTTCCTGACCCGTGGATACTCTCAGCCAGTTCATGCCATGTGGTGTTTCCCAGTCCTTGAGATTTCTGCTCCTTCCCCTAATTCTCACAGTCAGGGAGCTGAGCCCAGTACTGAACTGTGAGGGCAGAGGGGTCTGAAAGGCAAAGGATGGGTCAGGACTGGGAAGGGAGGGAAGGGAGAAGAGAGCAGAAAAATATCACCGGGACTGTATATAAATCCCCAGTGCAGCCCTGAGCGTCTCCCACCCAGGAAGGATGGAGGGGTCAGGGCTCCTCATCCCGGAGCAGAGGTGATGGAGGGGGTTCTGGAAAGCAATGAGTGCCTGGGAGAGGAGGAGAGGCAACGACCCTTCCCTGTCCCTCCCAGCACAAGACCGTGGGGTGTTGGATGAAGGCGGTGGGATCCCTGCTGGAAGGAAAGACGGGGAGCTGGTTCTGGCTTCCCATGGTGGGTGCAGGGGTCCTCGCCCCCAGCCATGGCAGTGCTCACACTTTAAATGCATGAAAGTCAAGTTCTTGTTTAATTATGTAACTGCAGGAGAGGAAGCTTTAAGAAAACCACAGTGTTTTGTAAGAGTTATTATGAATGCTGCTGCAGAGGAGTTTGGGGAATGGGACAGAGAGAGGAAAGATGCTAAACTGCCTGGCAGGTCTGAAGGAGAGAGAGGGAAGGTGGCTGGGGCAGTGGGAGAGGAGGGCGGTGGCCCCGGGATGCTCACTGGGTTGCTCTGTGGCCCCTAACTCTCTTTCAGCTGGTCTCTGCCAGGGCCTTTCGGAAAAATTTCATCATTTCCAAGTATGTCAAGAAGAAATACGCCAAGAGGAGCCCTGCTACTCAGTGCTCCAGCCTCCCAGAAGCTGTCAAGCATAAGGACATATTTTCTTTGCTCCAAGCATATGCGGAGAACGTGGATTTGAACGAGCCTGTGCTGGCACCTCTGCAGGTATGGCCACCTGTCCTGTGAGCCCGTATGGCAAACAGCTTTGCCATCACCTCTCCAACCTGTCCATAAGGGTCCCCGTGCCTGGGAGGGAACAGCATTTTCTGGTGAAAACTGTACTTTCTGTGAGCCGGGAGCAACAGGCAGACTTGAGCAGGGTGAGGAACATCACAGAAGAGAGAGGTTTTCTGGCTGTGACCCCACAGCCCTCCTCGTGCTGTGTGTGTGGGGGCCAGAAGTCATAACCACAAGCCCAAGGCTTTCCAAAGGCCAATTTTTAAGTGAGATTTACTTGCAAACTTCTGAACGGATTTTCTCAGGATATCCAAGTCTCACTGTAGGCTGAAAAATCAGGGCAGCATTTTTTCCTGCAAAACTGCAGCATGGGTCCTTGCTGTAAGTGCAAGAAGAGAGCGCAGCCCTAACCCTCAGAGCTGCGGGCATGCTGCCGTGCCACCCCCTCTGTTGCCAAGGACACCAGTGGGTGTCCTCCAGAGTAAAACCGAAGGAGTAAAATGCTGCAGTGAGCAAGAAGCACCGTCAGTATGGGATGTCTTGGGACAAACTGGCAAGCGAGAAGCAGCTCCACAGGGAGCAGCCGTTGCATACCCTGGGGTTCTGGTGAGATCGTGGACTTGGCAAAGTTCAGCTGCTGGTCTGAGGAGAAAAGTCACCTTTGGTTGCCTCAGTTTCTAAATGTGAAAAGGGGATGATTGATTCTTCTTCATGAAGCCATGAGCCATGGCTCTATGCATGTTAACTAGGTTCTCACCAGCCTTGGTGGCCATGACTCTGAAGAGACAGACAAACCTGTTCATCTCTCAAGGATTTTAAATGTGTAAGGAGGGTCCCTAAAGGACAATGCTCCTATCTGTGGTGGTGGTGCGGGCAGACACAGTCTCATCCTTGCTGTATTTTTCTTGGTTACAGGAACCTGGGGAGACCATTCTCCACCTGGCAGTGCTGTTGTCTGATCGAACCTCTTTGCATATCGTAGATTTTCTTGTCCAGAACAGGTAAGCTCATGACACCCAGTCAGCTTGTCATGGCTAAGCCATGCTAGTGAAAGGTGCAAGACTGATGATCTTCTCCAAAATGCTCCCAAAAAAGAGAAGAATCATCAGGGCAGGCCTCCCAGCAAACATGCCTTGGGATGGGCTTGGGGTAACTATCCCTAGATCAGAGGCGCCTTGGGTTCCCTCGTCTCCTCTGGGTTGAGGTGTGACATTGGTGGTGACCGTATCTTCTTTGGGCAAGGTGGGAAGAAGGACATGTGTGCCAGCACCAGGCAGTGTTTGCTGTGGCTTGGGCCGGTGGCTCTTCCCAAGGGTGCTGACATTATCCACCCTCTGCTGCAGCGGGAGCCTGGCAAAGCGGACGGTGGAGGGGAACACACCACTTCACTACTGCTGCTCTCACAACAAACCTGAGTGTGTCAAACTGCTGCTGAAGGCCAAAGCCAACATTGCCATCAGTGAGTGGCCGCGGGACCCCCACCCCATGCACACACAGGATGTCTTCTCAGCTTTTCTCTGGAAACACCTCCTTAGCCTTGCTGAAGTGCTCAGCAGTGCTTGTCTGCGTCTGGAGAGAGGTGGGTTGATGACGGTGTTGGGTGGGGCCCCTACCCGTGCAGTGACAGCCTCAGCCCCAGGCTTTTCTCCACGGGTCCAGTGAGGTGCCCTGCTCTGACACTGCTCTTGGCTGGCTCTCCAGGCTCAATGGTGTTCACAAGCTGGTTTGGGGTGCACGTGGTCCTCCGTGAGTGGGTTGACCATATCTCAGAGGTTCCTGCTCTCGGCAGCGTGGGACAGAAGTGGTGGCTTTGCTCTCCAGCCCAGAGCAGGGGATGCTCCTCTCTGCTCCCTAGGGAGGAACCAGCTTGCTCTAGGGTGCTCCTGACCCCAGGGAGCTCATGCCTCTGCCCCACTTCATTTGTCCCCCTCTCAGGTGGGCAGCCACAGGCCTGCCTGTGACTGGCAGCTCCATGGTGGGACTGCGCTGGAGTGGGCTCACCGAGCTGGCAGAGCCCAGCAAGGCAACCACTGCCTGAGCTGCTCTTCCACATGAAGCACATGAACAGCAGGAGCTGAAACAGGCACTTAACTCATTTTCAAAGCCAACGCTGCAATGCTGGAGAGCAGGTGGGAAGGCTGCCAAAGTGCTGGTTCAGATACAGTGTGGGCTGGTGCTCTGGAGCCCAGATCACAGCTCCAACCATTTATACTGCCCATGAATCTCCTCTTCACAACACAGAAGTGAGCTTTAAAACTAGGATCCTGGGTGAAATGGGAGAGCACAAATGTATCCATCATCAGCATCAGCCGAGCTGGTAGGTGCATTGAGCCTTGCCTCCTGAGATGCTCCCATTTCCTGCTCCAGGCAACGTGGTGGCAGCCCCTCGGATGGCAGAGAAAGTGCGATGGGGTGGCAGAAGCTGGGTGCATGTCCTCCAGTCGCACAGTGATTTGGCAGCCAAATTTCTCACTGCCTCGGCCATGCCCAGCACAGCCGTGCCTGATCTGTCTTTACTGACTACTACTGGTACCTCAAGCATTTTGAGTAGCAGGCATCAGGACACACGTATCAGGTCTGGCCAAAGCTCCCTGCAGTGACACAGAGGACAAGGGATCCCGGTTATGGAGTCCTGCTCTGGTTTTATAGCCTTTAGGCTCTGGCAGTGCCCGAGCTCTTCTGTCCCTCTATCTTGTCCCATCTCTGTGATTCATCAGGATTTACTTGTGCTCCTTTCTCTCCTTATCTGGATGTCTCAGAGCCTGCCCTCTTCTTCATCTTCCCACCACCATCTCTTAACGGCCTGAGCCTTTGTTTTGGTCTGGGTTTAGGTTGTCCCTTCTTTTAGGCTTATTTGTCCCCAGATACCCTGAACTCAGCATTGCTCTTCAATTCGCTGAACACAGGGCAGGCTTGAGGTGTTCAAAGCTTCCGTTTCCCACCCACAGCTAATGAAGCAGGAGAGACGGCCCTGGATGTTGCCAGGAAGATGAGACATTCCCTGTGTGAAGAGCTGGTAAGACACCATGTCTCATCACCCCTCTGGTTTTGGGACATGTCCTAGTGGCAAAGAGCAGTGGGAGACTCGCACCCATGTGGACGCGTCCTCTAGGGTCACCCACGCCCTCAGCATCTCCAGTGCCAGTGTGGGATGCAGAGGAGAGTGCGGAGGGGTCCAGTGGGCGCTGACTCTGCTGGCGTGGGGTCCCTCAGGGCAGAGCGGTTTGGGACAGGCCAGGCAGGGGTCGCGCCATGCCTGGGCAGGGGGACCTGGAGCTGTACTGAGGCTGCATGGGATGAGCGCATCTCTTCAGCGAGTCCAAGTCTTGCTTGTGCCATGTCCTGATTTGTGTGCTTGGAGACCATCGCAAAACTCCCTTGCTGCTGGGAAGCACTGCTCACAGCTTGCAGACATTGCCCTGACGGGTGGGTGGTTGGAGATGGGGCCAGCAGCTGCCTGTGGGGCTGGTGGGGCAGGACAGGGCTGGTGGGTCCTCAGGGAGCTCCTCTGTGCCCCAGCTGCTGCAGGCCCAGGGCAATCAGTTCAATCCCAATGTCCATGTGGAGTATGAGTGGTGGCTGGGCCAAGATGACATGTATGAGAGTGATGAAGACCTGGATGAGAAGGTGAGAGCCTGACAGGCTCTGGTTTGGGGCCACACGTGCCACCGCTGCCCCTGCTCACACTGCGCTGGAGTGGGTGCTCCTGTACCTGCCCAGCCATACCCACTGCGTCTAACCCGCAAATATCCCTTTCCCAGCTGGGTCCTGTGAAGAGGGGGTCTGCCCGTTCCCGGAGCTGCTACCACCTCCCTGCTGCTGCCATCAGGACAGAGGCAGCAGGGGCAGCGCCCTGGGGGGGCTAGCCGGACACCTGCCCCCCACCGGTCACCCACCTCCACAGCCTGGACATACCACCAGCCCCCTCCTACGTGCCTCCAATCCTGCCCCAGCAGGTAAATCCAGGTGAGAGCCTGCGGCAGGGTCCTGCAGGGGCTGGCAGGGTGAGCTGCTGCTGCTGCAGCCTGGCTCCATTGGCAGAGGGTGGTCTGGGAGGGAGCTGGGCCCCCGACGGGGTGTGAGGGGTTGCCTGGTGCCCTACGGCACCCTTCTGTCCTCTGCTCCTTGAGGGACGAAGGCTGGCTTGCACTGGCTGGTCTGTCCTAGCACTGATCCCTGCTTTGAAGAGCAGTGCAGCATATGCTCGTCCTTGGAGCCCCTAGGCTGGTGCTGTTAGGATGTGCCATCCCCTCCCAAATGCTGCTGCTGTTGGGAGAGGCAGAGGAGCACATCTTTAGAGACAGGGCTGGGAAGACAAAGCTGCTGGCAGAAACAGCATCATCATCTCAGTTCTGCTTCTTAGCAAGACTGGCTCCCACCGTCCTTGCCCAGCCTTCCCATGGTGTGTCCCACCTCCAACAGCCACCCTGCTTTCTGGGAGACTCACGAAGTCGTGCCTGACTTCCCCTCTGCTGGTCCCAGGTCTGCTTCCAACCTGATGCATTTCTCAAATCAGAGCTGCAAGCAGAGAAAAGAAAATCCCTGCCCACGCATTTGTGCCCATTCTTCCCTGGAGGTTCGCCCCAGGAGCCCTGCTCAGTGCCAGCTTGCTGCTGACTTCTGATCTGTTCTTTCTCTGTGTTTAGTTCCCCAGAGGGCATATCCACCTTTCCTTACCAGCTCATCCGTCTTTGCTGAGGACACAAGAAGCAGGAGGAGCCCACCCCTGCCTCTGAGCATCAAGCACAAACACACATCCTCGGAGCCGGTGCCTTGGGTACTGCTCAGCCAGCCTGACCAGCCTGGCTTCAGGTAATGAAAGGACAGGCTCAGAAGGAGCAAGGAGCCAGACCACACTGGTGGGAAGGACGTGCTGGAGGTCTGCATTCCAGCACCCGCACTAGGTCAGGTTGGCCGTGGCTTTGTCTGGCTGAGCCTCATTCATGGATCAGGCTCATGAGGCCTCATTTGGACATGGGCTGGGAGAGCTGTGGGAGCTGCGGCACTGGATGGCATGCCCACAGCCAAGCACAATGGTGGCTCCCTGCACCCTGGCTGTTAGACACCGGTGCCTCCAAGGCAGGGTTATTCTGGGGTTTGCTGGGCTGTTGGAGATGCTGAATTTGGAGAAGGGAATGGCTCCATCCCTGTCTTTCAGTGGATTTGTTTCTACGGGTGCCCCGTGGCAGAAGGATGTCCCCTCTCTGCACCCAGGCAGGGTGGCAGGCTGGGGGCTGAGGCAGTGGCTCACCCTTGACAAAGGGGTGACCACTGCCAGGAGCAATCCCATGTGTTCCGGGATGGAGGTCTGGCCAGCTGGAGCCTCCAGGTGCCTCTAGGAAACAGCCTCATCGCAGCAGAGCTCAGCAGCTTGGGGAGCATGGGTGGGACGAAGGGTGCCAAGCGCATGACCCATGGCAGCTGCATCCTTCCCCTGGTGCTGGCAGCTCTTGGGGCACCTTGGAGCTGCACAGCCCATCTCCCATCTCCTGGTAACACGTCTCACCCCAGCCTCCACTGTATGTCCTTCTGCTTCCTGGCCACGTCCCCTTCCCCTGCTGCCACTCTCCGCCCCATCCCCAGTCCCTCCCCTTTCCAGCTCCCAGACTGATGGGGTGCTTGTTGCCCATGCTGTACCATGGAGGAGAACCACGCTGCACCATGTTGCCTGACAGTGGTGGTTGTCCACCCGTGACGAAAGGTGGGAGGAGATGACCAGCCTGATTGTGTCATAGGTGCCCTGAAAGCCATGGACCCCCTCTGCACACCTGGCTCCAGCAAAGTGGGACAGCCTGGCCCACACCAATCCCTCCAGGAGCCAGATCCATGTTCTGGCCGTGCCCAGGATGTCCCACCTCTTCTTCCTTGGAGGAGCAGTTTGGTAGGTGGCCAGTGGCCAGAATCAGCTCAGCTCAGCTCCCACATCTGCCCATATTTATCACTTTTGGTTTTGAACTGAGCTGGAATTGGCCCCAGGAGCTTCTCCTCCCAGCACTTCTGCTGTGACTCCCTGGCATTGGTATCTCCCTGCTAGGTGCTGGGAATGCTACCAAAATCCCCATAAGGCTCCATTGCCTTTTGAGGGAAGCCTTGTTTATGATTTCAGGTTGTTGGCAGCAGGGTGCAGGCTACCAAAATCCCCATAAGGCTCCATTGCCTTTTGAGGGAAGCCTTGTTTATGATTTCAGGTTGTTGGCAGGTCAGGGTGCAGTTTTGGACAAGGACAAGTGTGCAGTGTCCACACTGGCCCTGCCTCTCCATGCTCCAGGGGACACCGTTCTCCCCAAGGACACTGTGCAGAGGCAGAGCCCTTTCGTTAGGGGGACATTGCTTGGGTTGCTTGGTCTTGGGGTTGTGCTGAGCAGCACTGCTGACTCCTCACACAGAGCTGCCCTGAGAGAACCAGGACCCCAGACAGTGCAACTGCACATGCCTCAGTCCTGGGGCAGAGGAGCAGGTGCCCCTGGAAGGATGCTCCAGCAGAAGGTGGTGTCTTCTGGATCCCTGTCCCGCCCAAACTCCCAGCAGGTGACCTGCCACCTCTGCCCTCCCTCTGCACAAGAAACCTCCCAGTCTCTCATCCTTGCTCCTCACATCTATCTTTGCCAGGGGCTTTAGGATCAAGACACTAGAGCTATTTTAGTTTGTGTCTGACAAAGCCTGACGATGCTCTCTCCTGCTTGCAGAACAGACTGCTGCTCCACAGGGTCCGTGCTCTCTATGACTGCAATGCTGATCAGGAAGATGAGCTGACTTTCCACACAGGCAAGATCATCGTAGTGTCTGAAAAGGAGAACAGCAACTGGTGGGTGAGTGAACCTGCATATGCTGACTGGTGCTGGAATGTGCATGATCCCCTCTCCTTCCATCTCTTGCCTCTGTTCCATGACTGTTGCACCCATTGTCATCTCCTGCTCTGCATCTGTCTCACCATCTTCCATTTTTTTCTTGGCAACCAAAGGCAGCTGTTATGAGGCCAGTTCCTCACCCCCCCCAAACACCCCTGTGCCATACTCACCGCTCCTTTTCCTTCCTTTCTCCTTCTCCCTGCAGAAAGGGTGGATTGAAGGACAGCCTCACAAGCAAGGTGTCTTCCCCGCTTCATTCATTCACGTGCTCAATGAGTAGGAGTTGCTTCAATTCAAGAAGGAAGATCTGATCAGCTGCTTAAAATGTAAGTCCCCAAGCTCTGTCTGCACCAAGGGCCCTGGGGATGAGCAGGCTGGGAGCACCAGCTCACTTGGTGCTGCCTCCCTCACCTCTGCTGGCCCAGCATCCCTGTCCCCCCAGCCCACTCCTCTGATGGGCTACTGGCAGTGCCAGGCAGTCCCAGAGGATCCCTTGGCCAGGCAAAGGGAGAGAACACAGCAACCTACATACTCCACAGATGTGCTCCTGCCTCAGCCACATCCCCATGCAGCAAACAGCTCTGGTGCACTCTGCTGCCAAATGTCCGGCTCCTCCTTGCCCTGCCCACACTGCCAAGTCCCGTGGTGCTCCCTGCTGTGCTAGTGCTAATGGAAATGATGGTAGAGTGGAGCAGAGCTGTGCCCTGCAGGGCTCTGGAGCTGCAAGTGGAGCCGTGCTGGCATGCAAACCCCTTGGAAAGAGACTTCTGCTGCAGGCTGAGCACGCTGGGAGCTTGGAAATGCAAATAAGTGCTGTGGAGCCAGCACCACCATGAGCCTGTGCTGTCCCTGATTCCTCCCACCCAGGTTTCACTGTTTGTGCTCCATGAAACGTGCTCTGTGGCAGCTCAGGGCATTGCTCCTTTTGTGCCTGGCCCCCCCAGATTGCTGGAGAGGTGGAGAGGCCCTTTGAGCCTGCTGCAAATAAATACCGGCTCTTCAGTGCTCTGTATTTTGCAGGGCTGTTCTAGTTTGAGTTTCTAGATCCTTCCTCTTCGCCGCTCTCCCTCAGGCACCAAACTTCCTTGCAGGCATCAGAGCAAAGAGGGCTGACCTCCCCTTGGGTAAAATTACTCACAATTCAGCTTGCATGGCTTTTCTCCACTGGCTGTGTTTTTCCAGTTGCCAAGGCACATTTCACAGCCTTTCTCTGTCCTCTGTGAGCCAAAATCCCATCCAGGTGAGGAAAAGAATCCAGCTGGTGAGGTGCTGGATGCACGAGGCTGTTGAGACCTCTGTTGCTGGTGTCAGTGTTGGCAGAAGTTGAGCTATCCCAGCAGGACACGTAGGGGCAGGAGGGCAGTTCCACTCCAGGCAACTTCTCCCATGTTCAGAGGAATATTTTAATGATGAATTTCCTGATTTGGCCCTGGGAACATGGCTAGGGCACTCGGCTCCAGCGGGACTGGTGGCCACCACGGTGCTGGGCTGTATGGGAGGGCTGTGCCAGGATACCAGGGTGGTGGGCACCGCCAGAGGAGGGACAGCAGCCCTGACCTCACTGTGCGACTCACCGCGAGGCTCTGTTCTCCCCCACGTCACGGCGCCACACTTCCTCTTCGTTGCAGCTTGCAGCGAGCACTGGTGAGGCCACCAAGCCTGGGAGCATCAACGTCACCTGGCCCTGCTCAGCGGCGCTTCCTCCAAGGAGGTGAGGGTCCCCAGGGACAGCTGGCTGGGGACCAGGAGGTTGCTACACTGTGAGGGCCTCTTTCCTGTCTGCGGGGCTGGGGAGCTCCTGGTGCTGTCCCTTGGGGCTGAGCAGGGATGGGGACAGGTCTGTGGCCACGGGGTGCAGCCCAATGCAGCAACCACATAGCTGCAGCACGGTGGCTTGTGGCCGATGGCACTGGGCTGGGGAACCCCAAGATGAGGGCACCCCTGGGCGCAGGGCCAGGGGGTTGTTTCAGCCACCATGGGGGTGCAGGGGGAGAGGTCCCGTACACGGAGCAGGGTCTATGCATGGGCACAGGCGGGGAGGTGGGGCTGCTCAACCCTGCCTGTCCAGGGCCCTGGCCTCCTCAGTGATGGGCAACTGCAAATAGCTTCATGAAATATTCACTGCGCTGCCTGAGTTCCCTGGCTCTGGGCTTAATGGAGCTGCGATGGTGATGGCCATGCAGCTGCCAGCCAGCTCATCCCCTTCCATGGGCTGCAGCTTAATAACCCCCGAGGCTCTATGAGTGCCCGAATCAGCCTGGGAGACTGCTGGGTCCTGCCCCGACCGGCATGTCAGATGGATGCTCTTCACTTCCATGTTGGCAAATGCTCCTGGCTGCTGCAGGAGGGCAAAAGACTAAGTCATGGGGATCCACCACTGCCAGCTGGGAGAGCGTTGGGGGCCCCCTGAGCCTGTGGGGCAAAGAGCCAGCATTTCGTGGCCACTTCCTGCTTGGGAGCACCCACATCTGCATTTCCGGCGCACTGGTGGTGGCTTGTTTGTGCTTCCCTTCAACAAGAGGTGACGGTTCAGTTACTTTTTGAAAGGGTAGGCTTGCAGGGGAGCACGACCCACTGCAGCCACCTGGGATCGTCCAGCCCCCTGCGCCCCCAACATCTCTCGTCTCTGCTTGTTGCTCGGATCCTCAGGAGCAGCAGTTTTGCTGTCAGGTACACGTCCTGCAGGTCAGATTTGAGTGCAGCTGGTTGGATACCACAGCAAGCAGGTACGTCTGTGCTGCAGGAGCCGCAGAAAATGGTTAATGTGGAGAAATGAAGCCGGTGCTGACCTATGGGCCCCATGTCAGCTCCCAGGGGACTGGGGGAAGCACAGCGTGCTGCTGTGAGGATAGGAGAGGTTTTCTCTTCTTCAGCTTTCCCAGTACAAAGCCGCCCCCCCC